TGCATCTTTTTTCCTCTTGTAAAAAGTAAATTCAAGTTTATGTTTCTTTTGCCATATTCGTAATTTAATATTAAGTTATTGGAAGAGAAAATTCATGAGATAATGTACATTTACCTCAAACGGCTTGAACGTAGAGGGAAATACAGTTGATCCTCCATATAACGAACCTCTATATTGCGAACTTTTTCTTGGAGCCAAGATCATTTCACGATTTTCTTCGTAAAATAACCTCCCAACAGCGAAGTAGTTTTTCTATATAGCGAACTTTTTCTCTTGTGATTCAATTTTTTTCTCCCTATTTTAAAATAATTTCTTGAAACTTTGAAGCTATTCTCTCTTTTAACACATTTTATGGTAGTCATAAATCTTTTAACGATTTTTATTTGATCCCTAACTAACCGTGAGCAATATAATTATGGGCATTTAATCCAAGAAATGAAACCTTTAACCCCCAGTTCACTGAAAACATCTTTGATATCTCCTCTTACCCTGAGTGGAGTCTCGTACCCTTGTGCTAGTCGCCATTCATTTGTATTGTTGATCAGTCGTACTGGTAACTTCATTTGTTGTAGCTCAAAAATGTCAAAACGTAAGTGCTTGACGATAAAAGAAAAAATTTAATTCTTCAGGAAGTGGATAAATGCGTCAAGAAACTTTTCTTGCAGTTTTTCTTTTTTTTATATGTAAGATATATAAAATAAATATATTTTAATTTACAAAATGTGTGGATAATTACTTTTTTAAGGGTATAGTGTTTATAAATTTAAAACTTGTTTTATGTGGTTTGTAAAGAAAATTAAAAGAGGAACCTCTATATAGCGAATTTTCCATATAACGAACTTTTTTTCGGGATTTAGCGACTTCGTTATATAGAGGTCCGACAGTATACAGCCTAAACAGCTTTTCGCATATCAGAAATGCATGTTTTATTTTGTCTGATTGCATTTCCATTGTACGTTGTAATTAAGTCGATCCTTCTATCAGTCAATCTTTTCCCACCAATCGACTTCCCATCTCTGAGTTTAAAGTGCTTTGTTTCAGTTTTCGTAAATTAGTCTTGATTACATTTTGAACCTGACAAACATATTCATTTTTTGAGACTGGGATATCTTCTCCATACGGATTATTCTTGTTGTTGCTAATCCCAGATTGTCTAGAAAATGTCCTTTATATTGGTGGCGGTAATAGATGGAAATGTTTCGAAATCACAATCCTCGATGCAAGATATCTCACAGAACGATGTCTCACTGATCTCTGAAGTATATACGAAATATTTCAAGAATTTCTGTCATGCCAGCTAAGGCATTGTGGTTTACTAAAATTCAATTCTTCAAAGTGATGAATTTTCAACTTTTTTGTAATCGGTTGATTCTTCACTTCCTTTCCAGGAATTACATCCCTTTTACAGAAAGAAGACATCACTTCCGCATCTATTGCCTTTCCTGTTCTGTGCCTATGACTGTACATACATCAAAACGAAAGGAACATATAGTCCGGGGTGTGGCTGCGGTACCCCAGTGGTCAAGTTATCGGATCATGGCAGGTATGTCATGAGTTCGAGCCCAGTACCACTAAAGACCCTAAGTGTAGGGCAACGATGCACGTTAAATCTGTCGAAAGCCGAAATGACCTCCCGTTTCTGTGGTGTGGTAGTTAGGAGAGAGGTGCCAGCTACGGTGTCTTCCACGTCACTTGACCGTGGTTCAAAATTACGTGGTCCGTCGCCAAAAGCCCTCGTGTAGCTGAACAGTGCGACGTTAATATTCTTTCATTCATAGTCCACTTTTCATTGAAGTATCTGCAACTTCTTTACTAAATACAAGGATAGTTTTTTATAATGTCATTGTATGATTTTTAGCAACTCGTAAAGAAAGGTTCATGACACCACATAAAGTTGTCATTGCTGAATTAACCTGTCCGATTGTCCTCACGCATACACAACGTGTCTGTTTATTTCGAGAATATTTTTTTCCGCAACTTTTTTAAATTTATAAGAGCAAACATAACTTGTTACAGTACTTGCATTTAATGAAGATAAGCTTCTAATACATTTTTTTTGGTATTGTAATATCTCCACCACACTTTTTGTAAGAAGCAAAGTGTGGTAAGATAAAAATAATATGTTTGTAAACACATAATATTTTTTTCAAACACTATAACAGTCAAAACAATCATCATCTTTTTTCATAAAAGATGAATCAACATCTTGCAATTAAATATTTGTTCTAGATGCATTGCTGTTTAGGGATTCAAGCACATTGTTCATGAAATCCCCAGGAATGTACTAGGTCTGCAGGCCATTACCAATCCACAGCCCCATTACAAAGAAAAAAAATATTTAGTAACTAATTTATGAAAACATTTCTCTTGATTATTTTTGTTTCCAAAAACTGTATTTAATTTTGTACAATTTTAAAAATTGTCAATTTCATCATTATACTTTTGAAATGTGATAAATTTCTTTTGGCTGAAAAGTATTTCTATTTCCTTTTTAAACGTGTTAAGCAATAAGAATTTTCCCAATTTCTAATTCTTTGTTGCTACTACTTTATTACTTATAACGTTTAAAATTTTGAAAAACTACTTATTCTACTTATTGTTTGATTATAGATATTTTAAACTTTAAAAGAACACACATGATAGTTAAAATATTTCATGGATAATTAAGTTTTACAAGAAATACATTGTTTTGACCGAAAGCATTTTTCTCAAGTCATTTTTGATGCGGATTATAATGATATTAATCCACTATCATGTACGCAGTAAGACCCAAGAACCATTAAATAAATGTCGTAGAAACTTTAAACATTAAATTTAATAACATTAAACTAAACAAAAAAAAAATAAATTTCCAAACCTAAACCTTCCACCCTAACATTAATCCAACATTCAGTCGTGCTACCATCTTAAGAAACAATCATAATAACACCTCTATCTCTTAAACTAGCAGATTACATGCACTTAAGAAGAGCTGATGCCATAGAAGAAAATAACTATATGAAAAGCTCTATGTAAATAAGATGCGAAACGTTCGATAGTGGTGTGATTAAATAGCATTGCGATCTGCCTATATTTCGTTTAACGGAAATTCTAGGTGATATAGAAAGTTATAGTAAAAGCAGCTTGAAGGTTTATCTCCAACCATTTGTATTGAGTTAGCAGAATCAAAGTAATTGCGAAAAATTTTATTGAATGTTAATAGAATTCAATAATATATTATTTTATGCAACTTAATAAGTGACAGTGTTTCGGCTCTGATTGTGTTATCAGCAACCTCAAAATTCTTCCTATAATAATTAAGGTATCCGACTACGTTCGGAAGCATGATTTTAAAAAAGCGCATACATGGATAATTTTCATGATATTTAGTGTCACTTAGATTAGAATACATGTATAAAACTGTTTTAAGGACATTTTGACAAAAAAATTATTTAAATACAATATTTCGGCAAAAAATTAACTTAGAATATTTTTTTCCAAATGTTCTCCTTTTGTGAAAAATGCTTCTATTATAATAATATTTTGCCTGTATATAGCTCAGACCTCTGTACAGAGAGGCCCAACTATAATGTTTGAAATATATAACTTAGAAGTGGGTTTATTCATATTTTACGATAACAGAGAGGAGCAATTTTAAGAAAAAAATGCCAATAATTATTTAAATTGGTGGTAACTCTGAAAATAATGTGAATTTTTCAAAAATTCCAGTTGAGCCACTGTAGAGAGGTCTGAGCTATATACATGCAAAATATTAATATAATAGAAGCATTTTTTACAAAAGGAGAACATTTAGAAACAAAATTATTCTAAGTTAATTCTTTGCCAAAATATTGTATTTAAATTATTTTTTTTTTGTTAAAATGTTCTCAAAATTATTTTATACATGTATTCTAATCTAAGTGACACTAAATATCATGACAATTATCCATTTATACGCTTTTTTAAAATCACGGTTCCGAACGTAGTCGGATACCTTAATAAGGTAAAAGTACATTCAATGTTTGCATAAGAAATACGTAGTATATGGTGTCTACAAATTAGTTTGGAGAAAAGAATGATTTATTGCATGTGGGAAAATTTAAAGTACATCTTGTTGTAAGATAGAGAAATAGTCCATACACAAGTTTACCATTATCACCAATGTTTGATGGAGCACCCTTTCGTTAATATGCAACTGTCCCATTGGTAAGTTAGTCCTTGGTACAGATTTATCAGCTTGTTTCTATCCATGAAATCAAATGCTGCTTAGATTCTTGATTTAAATGCAGGAATGTCTGTAGGAAATGAAGGAGTGAACACTTGATCCTTTACAAAATCCCATACACTAAAATCCGGTGGTGATTGTGAGGACCCCTAAAAACATTTCCATGACCAATTACTTAATATGATCTGATCGTTTTATAAATGAATTACTTTTTTCACTTAGCGAGAATCATAAAAACTTTTGCATTATTATTTAATTATTCATTTTTATAATTTTTTTTATTAAAATTTTTTTAACTGAACTTTTATTAGAGCATATTGAACATAATCTGACTTATAGCAAAACCTTTAATTTAGAATCAGTTTCCAAGTTTTTTTGTGTTTTTTAAGCCATTGTTTGATGTAGCTTAGCCTAATTCGGCTATTGTGTCATAAAATCATGCAATCAATCATACGATCCATTACCAATCCAAACTCATACCTTAGTATTGAGGTAAAATGTGACGTTGTTGTGGTAGTGATAAGGCATGTCACCGTGTTGAAAAATGTAAACTCTTGGCATTTTTCAATTCCTAATATTATTTCACACTCTCCTTATATATATTTATTTATATATATCGTTCAAATTTTAAATCGTTAGTAAAATACTTTTTATTTATCCACTCAAGTTCAAATACATTTTTAAGCATGATGCTTCATGTTATTACAGTTTTTTTCAAATATTAATTGATTAATTAAATTTAATTAATAGTTTGCTGATACTTTTCTGACAAAGTGGTCAAGTCGTAACTACCGAAGGCCATTCCATGCTGAAAGCATCGATTCTCGTCCGATCACCAAAGTTAAGCATTATCGGACGCGGTTAGAGTTTGTGAGGGTGATCACCTGGGAATCACCGTGTCATTGGCGTTTATTCTTTATTTCTTTACATTAAAAAACTATAATTATTTTTCAATTAATACTATTAGTTCAGACTCTCCCTATATATGTTTATATATCTTGTTCAAATTTTCAATCGTAAGTAAAATCCTTTTTATTCTTCCACTCAAGGTCAAATGCATTTTTTTTTAGACTGTTAAGGTATCCGTCTACGTTCGGAACCGTGATTTAAAAAAAGCGCATAAATGGATAATTTTCATGATATTTTGTATCACTTAGATTAGAATACATGCATAAAATTGTTTTAAGAACATTTTGACAAAAAAAAATTATTTAAATACAATATTTTCTCAAAAAATGAACTTAGAATAATCTTTTTCAAAATGTTCTCCTGTTGTGAAAATACTTCTATTACAAAAATATTTTACCTGTATATAGCTCAAACCTTTCTACAGAGGTTCAACTAGAAATTTTGAAAAATTCACATTATCTTCAGAGTTACCACCCATTGAAATAATTATTGGCGTTTTTTTCTTAAAATTGCTCCCCTCTGTTGTCGTAAAATATGGATAAACCCACTTTTAAGCTATATATTTAAAAAATTCTAGTTGCGCCTCTGTACAGATGTCTGTCAGCTATATACAGGCAAAATATTATTATAATAGAATAATTTTTTACAAAAAGAGAACATTTTGAAAAACGATTATTCTAAGTTCATTTTTTGCAAAAATATTGCACTTAAATAATTTTTTTTTGTCAAAATGTCCTTAAAATAGTTTTATGCATGTATTCTAATCTAAGTAACACTAAATATCATGAAAATTATCCATTTATGCGCTTTTGCAAAATCACGGTTCCGAACATAGTGGGATACCTTAAGGGATGATTCAAGAAATTTCATCACAAATGGTGGAAGAGTATGCAATATAATGCGCACCAGTGAAGATAGTTATGTAAATAACAAAAAAAAAATAGGAAGCAAATATAAATAATAGCAAACAAAAATAGTAGTCCAACACCATATATGCAAGAAAATTCACTTTCTACTTTACCACTTAATGTTGCGATTTTCAATTTTATATTAAGCGAAATTATTCAATAAAGTAACTAAAATAAATTTTTCCTTGTTGACCTAAGTAAGAATTGACTTTACTTTTTTATATATTTATTAGATGTTTCATTGAATATTAGTAAATCTGCAAAATGTCCAGGTAAATAATTCCTGTAACAGTCTTTTCAGAGAAGGCGAATGGGAGGAGAAGATTCGAGAAACTCAGTAGATGTTATGAGGGTGTTCCGACCCCCCAAATGAATCTGATGCTCTATATGAATAAACTCAGGATATATTCCTACTTGTCTGACTTGCAACGAATTGATTTTATTTAATATTTCGGAAGTTCTTTACTTCAGAAATTAGCTAACTAATTTGTAGACACCGTGTATAATGAAAAGATTTCATCTGATCAATATGCTACGAAAGATTTCAGATTAATCTAAAAGTGAAAGTTTGAAGGTAACGCATAAAATTGCCACAAATCTGGTTGAAATAGATACGATTGAAAGGCACTCATACGGAACCTAAAAAATATCGAATTACTTTATTTTTTTTTACATTGTTCTTGGCAGCAAAAAAAAACATTTGTAAGGATTTGACTACTAGTAGAAAATACACAAAGGAATGTAATGCTATCATTTTTTTCGACTGACTGCTTTTGTAAAACCAAGCAATACGCAATATAATTTAATGCATATGCATATTATAACATAAGACAAAAATTTAATATATTTCCAGAATTTTGGAATCTCTGAGAATCTGGAATTTTTGGGAATATACGAGAAAATTGTTTCCTATAAATTTCTTTAGAGCTTAGGTTTTTGAATTTATAGAATTTATTTTTCTAACTCAGCTTTATGCATGGTTAAGAAAGAAATTCTGAACAAGTATACACTCTAATTTATTATACTTTAAAATAAGTCTTATTCATACAACAGAAATATTCTATTTTTTAAAAAGAAACCACAAATTCATTAATACAGTTTAAAACCGATGAAATTTTAAAAAATGTGTAAACATAAATAATTTATTATCTGATTTAAAGCAGACAATATTTACTTTTAAATAAATAAATTCCTTTTTTTTAGTTTAAATTTTTTTTCCAAAGCTGCAACTACATGTTTTACCTCCCTTTTTTTGTATGTGTTTGTGTTAAATAATATAACTTACTTTGCTCAAAATTGCCGTTTGTTATTGTTGTTGTTTCAAATCCCCTAGGAGCAGGAAAGCCTACACCAAGTCCATTTGACCTTTCCACATACAAACGTCACAAGCCACGTTTTGATCAAACAACTGTCCCAGGGAAATGTCCCAGCAGTCCAGAAGATGAGCAAAAGAAGCAGGGAGAAAGAAAGGACAGGTAAAGAAAGACTTTACTCCCTGCACAAAGGTTATAACACGCAGATGATTGCTTTTAAAGCATGCCAAGGCCTTCTGAGGAGTCCTGAATCTCTTGCACTGTAGAGATAGGCCAGGACTAGTCCTGGATCTCTTCAATTGTAGAGCTAGACCAGGACTCTTAGCTGCGTACCAGTGGTGAGCAGGAAGGTTTCGCCAAGTGAGATTCATTTTAACTCTATGAGTGGAATCAATTTCATAATGGCTAAGACAGAGCAACAGGGGTTAGGGACATACCAACCCATACCAGTAGCCTCATCAACTGCCTCGTTCGCAGGCACACCCACATACAATGGTATCCTCTGGAGATATCTAGAGCTGAGCTGTCCATAATCTTTAGCCAATTCTTTAAATATTGGAGGGAACTCCTGTTGTCTGTCAGTATTCAGATACTGTCCGTATGCGAGTTGAGTAAATGATCGAGAATTTCCCTGATATTAATGAGTTCCGATCTGAAGACAGAACAGTGGTCACATAATTATTGATGCTAATTTTAACATCACTCCTAAGATTGTTACTAAATTTACAACTCCCTGCTCTACCCGTATTCCAACGGCTATCATTTGTGTAAGACAATTGCCGTAAAATAGTTCTTTGTTGTAAAACTGCTTTCTCACATTTCATTCACACTTTTCATTGAAATCATAAATATTATAAAAAGTAATTTTGTTGACTAACCTTTCAGAAAACTTTGGAATTTTTAAGCATATTTATTAATAGAACAGCCTTATTTTACTTTGATGCATATTATCCTCACATTATAATTTAGACTTTATATCAGAGGTCAGCAACCTCTACATGTGGTACAATTCTTGGTGATACTCGACTCTACAAAGTTATCACATAAAGTTAAATCACCTTGTCTTTCCTTTTTGTTCCTCAAGCATTTTATCTCCTTTCGTTCAGTTCTTAGTTCCAATACACAAATATTGAGTATTATATCAGTCAAAAGTAGAATTTAGTTTGATGCTAATCGGACACAGTATGCTACTTTAAATTTTAAGACACGTTATTAGTTTTATTGTGAAAACTTGTATTTTTTTTTTGTTTAATTGCTGTAAAATCTCATACCTACATATCTAATGAAATAACCTTTAAAAAAGAAAGCTTAATGGTCCTGGATCTCAAGATTCTAGGACGAAAAAATATGGATTCGTACCGCAAAGCAATCTTAGTGTTTGTGTTATGTCACGAAAGCGTCATATGTCGTACGTATAGTGGACAGCATTTCTCTGTTTAAGAATGTCGATAAGAAATGCGGTTATGAAACGAACTGTTACTGGATAAAAGTGACATTTTTTGTCAACATATTGGAACAAAATTTAGTTTTGCAATTGCTCATTGTGTAGCTACCAAAGACAGAAATTCACAGATGGTGAACATACAAAGGACAAATATACCGATTTTAACATATATCTTTAACTGATGTATAATTGAATGTAATAAAACTTAATCTGTATTTTTGATCTTCATTCCCTTAATTTGTAAGTATTATCTCCAAAATTAAATTACGTCAAATATTTCCTACTGTGCGACAACCACAATCATTTTGATAGATTGGTTTGGCGCACAACTACAGATCTCCTGACCGCTGCATTATAGTATTTGCAACAGTATAATATGTTTAATAAAATACTATTTTAGAGCAATGTTAATGTATCCGACTATATATACGTTCGGAACCGTGATTTTAAAAAAGCACATAAATAGATAATTTCCAGGATATTTTGTGTCACTTAGATTAGAATGCATGTATAAGATTGTTTTAAGGACATTTTGACAAAAAAAATTATTTAAATACAATATTTCGGAAAAAAAATTAACTTAGAATAACCTTTCTTCAAAATGTTCTCATTTTGTGAAAATTGTGTCTATTATAGTAATATTTTGCTTGTATATAGCTCAGAATTCTGTACAAAGGTTCATCTATGATTTTTGAAAAATTCACATTATTTTCAGAGTTACAACCCATTGAAATAATTATCGGTATTTTTTTCTTAAAATTTCTCCCCTCTGTTGTTGTAAAACATGGATAAACCCACTTCTAAATTAAATATTTCAAAAATTCTACTTGAGCCTCTGTACATAAGTCTGAGCTATATACTGGCAAAATATTATTTTAATAGAAGCATTTTTCACAAAAGGATAATATTTTGAAAAGGGGTCATTCTATGTACATTTTTTGGCAAAATGTTGTACTTAATAATTTTTTATTGTAATACTATTCTTAAGACAATTCTATATACATTTTCTAATCTAAGTGACACTAAATATCATAAATATTATCCATTTATACGCTTTTGCAAAATCACTGTTCCGAACGCAGTCGGATATCTTAAGAAGTTTATCTTCTCCGAAACAAAAGTTTACTTTTACCCTAAAAATTCTTGGAAAGTCTATTTTGTTTTTGTTAAAGTTATTTCTCTTTTTCATATAGGAATGGTAAAATAAAAATCTAGCACTTTAATATTAACAATATAAAGGTCTTAAAATAAGTAGCAGTTCAAAATTCTGAGGATTTCCGATTTATAGCGCAATATAATTAATTTTTTTTCAAATTTTAGCATAAG